GGGGGGGTCGGGTTCAGACTTGTAATTACTGTTAATTCGATGGGTTGGGGGCCGCTGCTATGGTGCAGGGGTTAAGAGCGCGGCCCATGTTCAAGGCTAGTCCTCATAGTGGCGTCGTGGGTATGAATCCCTGTCCAGACGACCTATCCGCAATGTCTTCTCTCTTTCGCCCCCGCTTTGCTCTCCACCCTGTACAACAAAAACCGGCCACTAGAGCTGCAAAAATGAAAAAATAAAAATAAAAATAAAAATAATAATAATAAAAAATAAAAAATTTGTCAGGTTGGGTTTGGAAATGATGGCTACGGGGCTGGGGCAGATCAGATTTGTTGGGCCCGAATGTAACTCTAATGCAAACTCCACCTAAAAAGGCCCCTGGCTGGGATTTGATCTAGAGACCTTCTCACAGAGAGACAACTGCTCTACCAACTGAGCCAACATGCAGCAGTTTCATAAATAATAAAAAATATATACATTTTGTTACTGTGTTCATCCTACATATGCAGAATGAGATTTTATTGTTAAAAGTGTATACAAATTTTATTTCAAGGGGCAATTTTCAATGTATTATTTAATTTCCCATCTTATGGATTATTGATGGCACTCAAAACATTTTATCTTTCCACCTTTGTGATCATCTTTCATCCAATTGTTCAAGGCTCTTTTTCTTTGCAGGATTTGCTTGTGTGGATGAGAGAGTAGATGACCGGATGGACGTGAATGTTTATGGACCTTTGTTTTGTATATTTGGAAGAAATCAAATAACCTGTTTATCAAGATATCCAGAAGACAGAAATGTATCGTTTCATGCAAAGTAGGGATGTGCGATATGGCATAAAATTCATATCACGATATGTACTGTGAAGGGTGGCGGTAACGATATATAACACAATATGTTTTTGGTATAAAACTTGCAATAGGAATGCAAAAAAAGCATAGGGTGTCCTTTTGCCATCATTTATTTTGAAAACTGCTATACCACAAAAAAATCTCAATTAAGAAAATTCCACTACTACGTCCAGAAAGTTTTTAAATAATAAATAAATCAAGTATTAGGCTTCTTTTTTGTAGTGCACAACAGCGCAAAATATATCAAATGTAGTTTTAGCCATATGTTTTAAACAAAAACAGTTTCCAGTATTCTCACTTAAGAAATGAACAGCAATAGAGCAGCATTTTACACTGAAAACACTTCACCCTCCAACCCTCTAGTGGGTGTCTCCTTCCGCTTTAAGGAGAGATGACACAAAATGGCGACCAGTTTCCTCTGTGGCTTTGACCAGAGGGTCTCACAGTAAAATCACACAACACAGCGTTCTTTTACAGCTCAGAGAGCAGGTTTCTCTAAAGCTGACCAACGCTTACTTTAACTTTCAACGGGGAAAAAATAAAATAAAATTGACAGAACACAGCGTTTTGCGCATGCGTCTGAATACAGCAAAACTACGGCAAGCCGGCCGTAGTTAGCTTGTAGCTTCGGTACTTAGCTCTCGAAGAAATGACTTGCGCAGTTTTCAATTAAAAAAAGAAACAATTAAATCGGACAAATGATTTTACATCAGACACAGCATTACTGCGGTTAGCCGGTAGAAGACAGAAATCTAACGTAGGCTAAATGTCTATCGTTTCTACCGTGTACTGTATATATCGCACATTCCTAATGCACAGGTTTTCTTAGACAGGTCATTGTGTGGACACACTCTTCCAGTTGTTTCTAATCACATTAATTCTGTATGAAAGCTCCAGTCTTTAATACAGATGGACCTGGCATTATAAATGTGGTGGATTTATATATATTTGTTCAGTCAAATGTGCTGTGATGATCTTTAATATTCGTGTTGAGTATAAAAAAGATAGAGAAGAGAAGTATTTCCAAACTAAATAAAGATTCTCCCCCATTGGCGCAGAGTTAAGAAAAGGCGGGCTTGTGATTGTAAAGTATCTGGTTTAACTCCCTGGACCGACAACATCAAAATGTGGGTGGGAAAGGTGAAGCACCCATGCCTGCAATACTGTTTTTGCACTATTAAGTGTTTAGTGTATTTCTTAGTTCATATTTTAGATCTTACCGTTTTTCTTTTCATTTGCAATTTATACTTTTGTTGGATGTAACTGGGACCCTGTGTACACAATGTCGTTCCACCACATGTACCATGTACAACCCGGATTCCAAAAAAGTTGGGACACTAAACAAATTGTGAATAAAAACTGAATGCAATGATGTGGAGGTGCCAACATCTAATATTTTATTCAGAATAGAACACAAATCAACAGATCAAAAGTTTAAACTGAGAGAATGTATCATTTTAAGGGAAAAATCTGTTGTTTCCAAATTTCATGGCGTCAACAAATCCCAAAAAAGTTGGGACAAGTCCATTTTTACCACTGTGTGGCATCCCCCCTTC